TCTCAAGTCAGTACTCATTGTTCCCAGGAGCACAAAACCCGGGACTTTCTCCTGAACACATCAGGGAATTTGTTATTGTACATAATAGGGTGTATAGAGTTTGGACATGCTTCAGACGCAGTACCACCACTTGGCTCCAGGCTGTCATCAAGGACCTGGGTTCTTTCCATCTCTATTCCTCTGTGAAATGGCTCTGCCTCAAGTTGGCTTTCCTCGTGTATGAGCAGTAACAGCAATCGCTTCAGGCACCATGTGGACATATGATCCTAGGTAGGGCAAAAAGTGGAACCATCTCTTTCTCTCTTTTTAACTAGATTTGATGAGCTCTAATGCACATACCTACAATTCTCCCATTAACGTTTATGATTCACTGCTTTTTGGTTCATTCACAGAGTTATGCAACCATCACCATAGCACATATTTTGGAACATTTTCATTTCCTCATAAAGAAATTCCATACACATTAGCAGTCATTTCCCATTTCTCCTCAACCTCCTCCCAACCCCAACCCTAAGCAACTCCAATCTATTCTCCAGTTCTTTGTATTTGCCAATTCTGGGCATTTCATGTAAATGGACCCATATAATTTCTAGTCTTTGGCTCCTGGTTTATTTTACTTAGCATGGTGTCTTTAAGCTTGATTACCACTTCTTTTTTTGAATCCTGTCCCCTTTAAGAATAAAACCTGTAGATATTTCTCAGTAGATTTCCCTTTGAGACTCTTTGAACTAAGTGTAACTACATGATCAATTCCTAGTCTAATGGCTGACGATGAAAGAGGAGTTACCATGATTACCTTAAATGAGGGTAAATCAACAAGGAGAGGGTTATCTATCACAGGCCAGCAGGGGCTAGGAAGGAGAGAGATGGATGCTGAAAAAAATCTGGTCCATGTTAGCAGATGTGGGAAATGGACGTTGGAGAAGGAAATAAAATGTACACTACATCAACATAGTGACAAGGACATCTAAGAATCAATGTTCAAAGAGTCTATACTCACCCTCATGCTGTTTATTCCACTAGACTTCCTCTCTTCCTGACTTTTTGTTTTGAATCTGTAAACTTCAGATTCCAGGGCAGTGGGTTCACCAGCCACTCGGAATCTCACCCCTGCAATGGGTTCTACCACTGACCAGCAGTAGGGGATTCAGGAAAGTGGCAAAGGCAGGGAGAAGTAGCTGAGGGGTGAGATCACACAGTGTCCTCTTTCCAGGTCATCAGCAGACAACAATTTGTCATGTCATCATTGCTGTTCTGGCCTGGCTTTATGTTGTTGATGAATACAATGGAAGAGGGTTTGCAAGTATGGGTGTGTGTGTGGTCATACTGAGCATTTACATTCTGTTAATGGGAAAAAATTAAAATGTAGAGCCATCTTCAATCTTGATTCTTTCTCCCGTGGCTTACTCTCAAGTGGTCTCACCCTCTTCTACAGTATGGGGCAATCTAGTTGGGGTTTAAATACTCTGTCCTGTTGCCTATGCCACTCCCCTCAGTTCCTCTCATTCTACTTGTAGACAGAGGTTATTCCCCTCTAGCATCTTCTGAACCAAGAGAATGTTACCTCAGAATCGGTCCTGAACAGATGGGAAGCAACTGGGTCTCAGGATGGTCTGTCATATTGGGAAAATGCCACAGATATTGCTATGTAAGTGGAGTCTTCTCCAATACTGGGAGCTACTGGACATCTCCAATGTCCAATGTCACTTTCCTCTAATGTCCTCAAGGGAAAGTGAATTCATTTTATAGGCCATAGGCATTCATATTTTATATGCATATGTTATTTCAGTACATAAAAAGTACCATATGTGGCAGTATGTTAGATGTGGAAAGAGATGCAAGTTCCTACCCTTAACAGTACAAGCTGCTAGGGATTACTTTTCCACTCCTTGGGGACCTCACTCAGCAGTTGCAATACTGAAGAAAGAATATGGAAAGGAAGAGTGTAATCCAAGCCCATCTCTCTGGCTGTACACATCTGAATCTCTTTGGCTTCCCCTGTGGCACGAACATGCCGTCCAGCCTTAGGGATTGTGCCTTAGGTTGCTCCAGGCATCTCCTGGCTGTGGTATCAGAACTGAGTCTCCTTCCCTGACATCACAGGTGTTCATTGTGGATCAGAAGATGCTTTTCATGACTCTCCCTAACATGAAATGGGACTAGGCTTCAGTCCTTGACAACAGAAGTTCCCCCCGGCAGCCTAAGTCAGAATGTCAGGTATCTGTAGGGCCTTTGGAAGCCATTCAAGGCTGGCTAGCAGTTGAGCTTGACTATTTTGGAATAATATACATGGTAGTAAAACAGAATTTGGAAAAGAGTAGATTTGGTATAGGTTTTCCAAACTATAACCTACACATTTCTGAACCTGCAGAAATTTCTTCATCATTTTCAATACTTCTGTCCTTATAAAAATACATGATTAATGGCCAAAGTGAGTGATGTGAGCACTGTCATTCTTTAAGAAAGGGCCAGGTGAACCACAGTGTAACTATCAGGAAAGGCTCCATAGACAATGTTGGTGTCTTAGTTCATTTTCTGCTGCTGTAACAGAATATGACAGATGAAAAACAATGGAGGTTTATTTGGGTCATGTTTTTGGTGGCTGGGAAGTCCAGCATGGTGCTGGCATCTGGTGAGGGACACTGTGCCACATCATAACTTGGCAGAAAGGTGGGCAAAAAGCACAAGATGAAAAGAGGAAACTTGGACTCAACTCACCTTCTGTATCAGGAACCCAGTCCCATGATGATGACATTAATCCATCTATGAGGGCAGAGCTCTCAGGACCCAATTATTTCTTAAAAGTTTTATCTCTCACTACTGTCACAGTGGCAATGACATTTCAGCAAGAGTTTTGGACATTCAAATCATAGTATATGGGCAGAAAGGAGGAATGGTGGTCACTACAGGACAGTACTGGAAATGGGAGTAGGACTGCACAGATGGCCCTCCACAAGCAAAATGAAAGGCAGAAATAATTTAATTTTAATACTGATTCACTCAAAGTGTTGAAAGAATATGCTCCAGGAAGCATATTCTAAGATAGTGTATACTAGTTTCCTGTGGCTACTGTAACAAATTACCACATATTCAGTGGTTTAAAATGACACAAATTTATTACCTCACAGTTTCGGGGATCAGAAATCTAAAATGGGTCTGCAGGGTTGTGTTCCTTCTCGTTCTAAGGGAGAATCATAGGGAAACTTACTAGCTTTAGAACATTCTGTGTAATTACATTCATAGCCATATGTGATGAAGATGTTATAGGAATACTGGATTCTGGTCTTTAGAAGTCCTAAGAACATAAATGAGTATAGTACTCCCTGTGCACATATACTCAAAAACAAAAATAAAGTCAGCCCTATCAAAAAGCATATGTGTGCATACATTTATATGGTCATAAATGTATGTGGATTTATTTTTTTAAAGTTTCTGTCAATATTTTTCTGATTGGAAGGTTCATCAACACTGAGCTTTTCTCATCGTCAGGAACCATGTTTTTTTTGCTGAATCCCTAAAATATATGCTAGTCTACCCATTGAGCCATCTAGCAATAAGTCCTGGGTGTCTTTGAGTTCTGCAACTCACTTCTAAACACAAACATTTGAGACAGTTGGAAAAGAAGAGTTGAAAACAACTGTCTCCCATTCCCATAATACCATAACATTTTAGAATTAGAAGACTGTTTTTAAACTGATGATCTTCTCAGTCCCCTAAATTACAGATGGAAACTTAGAAGAGAGGGCTAGGAAGTCCACAGTGTGACCCCATTAGCATGAGAGTGTGAAACATGCTTTAATATACCATAATCTCATTGGATGTACTCATTTCCTGCAAGCATTTGTGGGGGATGAGGCAGGGTGCATGCCTACACTATGAAATGGGAGATTAGGCTGCAAGCTCTCTGGGGACAGGGACCATGAAGGGTGATGAAGATGAAGACATACCTGCAACAGAGCCTACCACATACCACACAGAGAATGCTGTTTAATTAAGTTTGAAAGTAAGAGGGGGAGAAAGCAATCTATATTGCTGGCTTGGTCTCCACATCAATGTGAAGGCTGAGGACAGAGAATTTAAATTGCCTGCTGGTGGTCAGGACTGCTGCTGGCTTCTCTGTGGACACTCTCTTGTCTCTAGAACTCAGCGCACTATGGCCAAGAGAGACGTCTGAAACATAAGCCAGATTCCAAGACCCCTGAGTGAATTCCTGGCGGAGAGAGATGGTCAGGATACTTCATAGCTTTGTAAATCTGTGCCCTGCTTTTAAGACAATGAGGGAGGGCAGGGAGCTCTCCTGCATCTGAATCTTAATTGTTTTCAGCTCAGCAATCCACATATTCGGGAGAGGCACACTCTGATCTTCGTGGCCTGTCTTGCCCACCTCCCCAGCTTATTTGCTGTCCTTTCTCCCTAACTCTCTGCGTCACCCACACTGGCCTTTAACATGCCAAGCAGCCAGGGCCTTAGCAGCACTGGCTGTTCCCTCCGCCAGGCCCTCCCTTTCCCGGACCTTGGCTTGGCCTGCTTCTCCGGGCCATCTGGGTCTGAGACCCTTTGTCCCTCCTTTCTCCGGGAGGCCTCAGATGCCTAACAGCATTGTTCTCCCCTGCACCCCACGCCATTCCTTTATATCACCCAGTTTCATTTTCCTCCTGGGGCTGATCACTATTTAAAATTGCCTTATTCATTCAGTTAATTTATTTTCTGATTTAGTTCCAGGTCCAAAGACAGTGTTTGCCTTGGTGATCTTTCAAAAAAAAAAAAAAAAAATAGTGTTGGGCGATAGACAGACGGATGAAAGAATGAATAAACGAGTGCAGACGACGCAGGCAGCTCCAGGGCAGCTGTCCCGCCACCCTGGCCGCCTCGCACGGCAGAGCCCGGCCCCGCCCGCCCGCTCCTCCAGCCCCGCGGCGGAACCCGAGGGCGGCGGCAGCGGTTTCCCTCCGACGAGCGGGGGAGTCTTGAGAGAGCACACAGGAAAGGCAGGGCGGTGAGCGGGGCCGGGCGGTGGTGAGTGCCGGAGTCGCGCGCGGGGCGCGGGCCGGGCGGCTAGCAGGGCCGGGGCGTGGGCGGAGCCGCCGCGGCGCGCGGGGCACCGGGCGGCTGGGCCTGGCCTGGGCCCGCGGCTCGCTGGCAGCTGGCCGCGCGCTGGAGGGTGGCAGCCTGGGCCCGGCCGGCGCGGCGCGCGCATCCACGGTCACCGCGGGAGTCGGGTGTCCTGCGTTGGAGTCCTAGAGCTGTCTCTAGCCTGGGGACCCTCACTCGCTTCTCCCCTGGGGCTTCGGAGTACTCCTTTGCAAAAAGGGGCCAGTGGTGCCCGAGCCTTGAAGGGGTGGATGGCTTCATTCATTCGGGCGCTTGGCGGGGTTGGGTGCTGCAGATGGAGAGGACCTGCCCGGGAGGGGTTCCAGGTGTCATGAGCAACCCCGACCTGTCACGTCAAGGGGGTTGAATACTGTTAGGGCTTGGGAATTCTTTAGGGAGGAAAATGGGCTCTTAAGATAAAATATGTTAATTTGAACGTATAAATTTTAGACTTGGAGATGAGGGAATGGCAATTCTAGTTAAATACAAAGGACTGTGCATTGTTAACTAATGCATTGCAAATTGTGATAAAAGTTTATTTCAACTTACAAATGACAGTCTCCACCTATCACATGTGGTCTTCACTGCTAAACCAGGTAAACAGAGCAGATGAGGTATCCTTATTTTACTGGTCAAGAAATGGAAACAAGTTAAATGACTTATAGGCTCTCACCACCAGTAACTGACAAAGCCAGGACAAGAATCTAGTTTTAGGCCCATGAGCCAGTCCTCTTTCCACCCTAGGATAGGTGCATATTTTCACATTACTTGGATAACACACAAATTAATTCATTTGTGACAAAAAGGGAGTTCCATTGGGGGTAGGGATAACCTTTAAACAGCCTTACTGACTCTTAGATTATTCTTTAATTTATTGGTATTCCCCTTGGGTGGTTTTACCTCTTCTCAAACTTGACCTCCATAGTGATGAATGCCAAATCTGTATCTTTTGCCCAGTTTCCCCTAGTTTCATGCTGCTATCTCTAGACATCCACTGGATATTTTCTTTTTCTAAATATATGTTTTTTTTTTTTTAAGTTGTTGATGGGCCTTTATGTTGTTTATTTATATGTGGTGCTGAGAATTGATCCCAGTGCCTCACACAATGCTAAGCAAGTGCTCTATCAAGGAGCCACAACCCCCGCCCCATCCACTGCATATTTTCACTTGGATGCTCCACAGGCATGTCAATTTCAGTGTCTCTTAAGCTGCACACTACCTTTCTCCATAAACCTAGCCAGTTGCCTAAGCACAAAAACTGGCTTGGTTCCTCCTCTCTCACCTCCCACAATCAGTTGATCACCAAGTGCAAACAATTTATATTTTCTGAAAACCTCCGAATCCATTCTCGTGCTATCTTTTTTGTGCCTTCCTTCCTTTAGGTGCCTAAGGATTATGGCAAAAACTTCCTATTGGCTCTGTTTAGCTTTAATTTCAGTGTCTACCAGTCTGTTTTACATTCTTCGACTACAGTTGAAATATGATCATATCGCTCACCTGCTTAAATTCCATGAAATTGTTTTCATTGTCTTCAACTCCAAAGTCCTTAGTGTGGATTCAAGGTCTTTTCTAACCCTCCCTACTCCCACCATCCTTTCTCCCTAAACAGCTGTTTATCAAAGTCCAGTATGGTGCTGACCTTACGGTTATGGGCATACTTGTTAAAAATGAAGGTGACAGTGGGCGTGGTGGCACACACCTGTAATTCCAGCCTCTCTGAAGGTTGAGACAGGAGGTTCGAAAGTTCAAAGCCAACCTCAGCAAAAGTGAGGCACTAAGCAACTCAGTGAGACCCTGTCTCTAAATAAAATACAAAATAGGGCTAGGGATGTGGCTCCCTGGTTGAGTGCCCATGAGTTCAATTCAAAACAAAACATGAAGGTGTCGGCTAAATTTCAGAATAAATGAAGATCACGGGGAAGGGAGGTAAAGCTCAAGAATAGGTGTTTTTAACAGTTCTGTGCATTTTAACAGGCTCTACACTAAAAGTCGAGATCTCTATTCAGGATGCTGTCCCATGTTTACCCTGTTCTTTATTCATACCAGACTCTTGATGGGGCTCAAGACACACCACCCCAGAATATGGCGCTTGGCATTTGAAGAAATAGCAGAAGCAGGAAGGTCATTCTCTGACTACCTCCTGCCCTTCTCCCCTGAAGCAGATCATGAAAGACTTCTTTGATTTTCCTCTTTATTAGACCCTCCTGTGAGATGTGTTCATCATATACATAGAGGAAAAGAATTCTCTTATTTCTGAAGACACAGGGACACAGAAGAATCTGAACAAACAGGCCTCACTATGTTCCACCTATCATTACCATTAGAACATTATCCTTTATCAAATTGTGCTTCTGCACAACTATCTACTCTTCATCAAAGTTAGCATAAAAATACATGGGTCTTCCTATTTGGGTCTTGTTTCTGAAGGCTTCTGTGTCACATAAAAATTACATTAAATAATTTTGTTTGCTTTTCTCTTTATCTTATAGGGATCTCAGGCATGAAACTAGCAATGTCTGAGAAAAGAAATTTCTTCTTCCCTATGCTATCTACCTGTGTTTCTCTGAACATAACTTGCTGCCTTTTCACTTTTATACACTGTCTTAATTCAGACTGCTATAACAAAAATACCATAGACTGGGGTGGTATAAACAAATTTATTTCTCACATTTCTGGAGGCTATAAATCTGAAACCAAGAGGCTAGCATGTTTAGGTACCTGTTGAGGGCCCTCTTCTTGTGTCCTAATATGATGGGGTGGAGGGATCTCTCTGGTTTCTCTTCTTATGGGCTCACTAATCTCATTCATAGGGTGCCACCTTCATGACCTAGTTACCTCTCAAAGACCCTATGTCCTAATAGCATATTTTGGGGATTAGGACTTCAATACAGGCATTTTAGAGGGTCACAAACATTTAGATCATAGCATTCACATAGCACCCTCTTGACTTTGGTGACGATGCCTCATTCTTCTAGACTCAGGAAAGACTTTGCTGACCCTGCATGGCTCCTTTGTGAGACCCAGTTCAAGTTAGTTCCCTTCTTGTAGACTCCCACTGAGCCTTGCTCACCCCTCAACATTTATCCCACTGTATTGCAACCATAATTGTGTAGGAATTATGGGCTTAATAGTTGTCAGTACTTGAGATGGGTCTGACTTTTCTCTGCCCTAGCTCCTAGTACAGAGCCTGGCACATATGTTGTTTATTAAAGTCCTCTTAAGTGAAGGAGTGGTGTAGGGCAGGATGGAGAGGAAGTAGGCCTTCAGGGCCCTTTCTCCAGCAGCCTGGGTGTTGTGCAGGACTCATAGCAAGGTAGGCTCCCTTATGCTGCCTTCGTTTCTGAATGCAGTAAGGATATTTTTTCTTGTGAGGAATTTTAATGAAAGGCAGATAGAGAGTAATAAAAAAGAACTGGTCTCTTCGATGGAAGTGGCTTTTTCCTCCTCTGGTCTATTTACCTCACTCATCCATAGTAATAAAAATTTTTTGTTTAAATTTTTAATCTCTGTAGAAAATAATTTATATTTATTTTAAGAAAACTTAGCATATATATTAGAATTTTAAAAATAAGCATCACCCACCATCCCACAACATAGAGGAAATTACTTAAAAAGTTGTTTTTATTTATTTGTATTGATATTTTTTTCAATTTATGTTCATATTTGTACATAGTGGGATAATACTAATTATATATGGCTTCTTATCCTGTTAATTTTACTTATGTTATATTTTGAGTTTTTCCACATCTGTAAAAATTCCCAGTAAAAAAAGGAATATTTGATACCACATGACTTATTCAATAGATATTTCTTAAATAGCCATTATGTGACTTATTCAATAGATATTTCTTAAATAGTCATTATGTGCCAGATCTTACTTAAGGCATAGAATTCAGCAGTAACTAGAACAAAGTCCTTACTCTCATGGGGTTTATATTCCAGTGGGGTAAACTGATTAACAAATTAGCAAATAAACATAATTATCATCAAATGATAGTGCCATGGAGAAAACAAATAGAATAAGTCTGTATTTATCACTTTGAATTTTAGTAAAGTTGTGCTATTTAACTTTCCTTATAGGAATATATGAGAATGTCTACCTAACTGTATTTTGTCATCAGTGAATATAATTTAAAATTTTTTATTAATTTTATAGGTAAATAATGATACTGCTTTGTGATTTGCACATCTTTGATTACTGAGTAAGTTGGGCATTTCTTCATAGCCCTGTGCATTTCCTCTCTGCTTATTTTCCTATTGGAGGCCTGGTGTGCTCTTCTGTTTTGAATAAACTATTACTAACATATTGTTGAATTCTTTATGTCTAATGGGCAAACACTCTTAAACAGTCATATAATGAGACTGTAAGAAGACAGAAAAGGAGGCTGGGGTTATGGCTCAGTGGTAGAGTACTCGCCTTGCACATGCAAGGCCCTGGGTTCAATCCTCAGCACCACATAAAAATAAATAAATGAATAAAATAAAGGTATTATGTCCAACTACAACTATAAAAAAATATAAAGAATACAGAAAGCCAGGAAAAGTCTGGTAATCCTCTTCCTTTCTTCATGCCCCTCCTCCTTCCTTCTCCTACAATGAGGAACTAGTGATCTGAGAAGGAAGAATATAGTTCAGGTAGAAAGATGTGAAGGAAGAAGAAAATAAATGTTGGTGAGTGAGAAGATGGTGATGATGAGACTAGAAGGGAAAAGATGAGAAGAGGCAGAGCAGAAGTGATAAGGAGGAAACCCAGCAAGGGAAGAGGAAGAAGAGAGGGTGAAGGAATGGAGAGGAGCAATCAGATGCTACGTGATTACTTTGATACTTATATTTTTATTTTCCTGTTTCTATTCATCTAGCAGATCTCCAGGAGAAGATGACTGTCTTCTTTAAAACACTCCGAAATCATTGGAAGAAAACCACAGCTGGGCTCTGCCTGCTGACATGGGGAGGCCATTGGCTCTACGGGAAACATTGGTAAATATCAACAGTCCCACCCCACCTGCTCTCCAACTGCAAAACAGCCTTAAAGAGCCTCAGGTTGAAGTTTTACTCAGCAGTTCTTTTCCCTCTAAAATACTGTGATGTAAAAACAATCAAACAAAAAAACTTATTCAAGCCAAAGCCAAGACAAAGATTTCTTATTGTAACCAGTTCTATACAATTAAAATTATATGGAGCTATTACACTCATACTTCAATAGATATGGATTATTCTAATGAGATTGGAAGTGAAGCTGTTTTTATTCATTTTATTTGTAGTTGAAGAAATTGAGGCCTATCACACAAAAAGTAAAGTCCTCTTTCAAGTTCAGACAGGAATTAGGACACATAATGTGTCCCTACCCCAGCCCTCCACTTATTTTTAACTTGTGAAAAGTATCTCCTTGGAATTTTGTTCCTGCTCTTTCTTAGTATGATCTCTTGATCTGCCATCACTCTGGTTGCTAGATACTTACCAGCTGTTTCTTCCATTCCCTCTGACCATCTCCATCTATCCCATTAACCTAGGTCAATTTCAATGAAACAAAAACTTTCAAGCCTTTTGTTTGAATAAGGAATTCAGTGCAATTATGTATATTTATTAGCCTTGGTGGGAGAAGAATGTGCTGGAGCTCCTTTTCCATTTTAATATGGAAATAAGATTTAAATCAACAGAGAATTTTTAATTTTTTTATATAAAAAAATCATAGAAACTATTAAGCAGCCAATGGGTTGCAGTCTTTTGCGAATTAAGTGTTACATCTTAAGTCTATAGCAACACTGAATCTATGTAAAACAGAAAACAGAATGGCTGTGCTTTGTATTGTAGGTTTCCTCATTGGAAGAGAATCACATGGATACTTTTGTGATTGTTTTTAATTTACCACTGTCAGAAATGACTTTATGATGCAGCATGGTATCTTCTGTTCTGCAACTGTATAAGTTGGAGCATCTTCTTTTCTAAGTATCATCAAGACTAAGCATTTACATTTCATTAGTTAGCATCTAATGAAATAAGCAGACCTCAGAAACTTACCATGTGTAATATCAGAAAAGACAAGGACAGCATAGTTTTTTTAATAAATAAAATATGATACATGTAGTATTTGGCTTCTCCTCCTTTTTTTAACTAACATGAGCCCTCAAGGAGAGGCTCCTGTACCTCCTTTGCAGGAACTCAGAGCTAGACCAGGATCAGCTTGGTCAGAGGATGCTCCCACTCACTGGGAGTTACTGCTGCTTCCTTGACTAGGTGAAATTTGAGTAGCTGTGACCCCTGTTCAGGATGTCTTCAGAGGTACTGTAATATTTTTTTGCTCTTAGAGTCTTGAGACTTTGAAAAGGGCCATTAGGTCTCTGGCACCAGAAGAGGCCTGACTCTAAATTGGTTCTGAAATAGCTTGAATTCACTGTGGTAGGAGCCAGACATTTTGCTCTGTCTCCACCTTTGACATTCAAGGTTGCCACCCCAAATGCAAAACCCCTGTTGTCCTTTTGTGTTTATTTTTCTCAAACTTTGATACTGTTTAGCTCCATCTATTTATTTTTATTTATTTTAATATTTTTTAGTTGTAGATGGATACAATACCTTTCTTTCTTTCCTTATTTATTTATTTATTATGTGGTTTTGGGGATCGAACCCAGTGCCTGATACATGCTAGGCAAGCGCTTTGCCACTGAGCCACTACCCCAGCCCTCCACTTATTTTTAACTTGTGAAAAACACATAAACTTGACCACATTAATCATTTGTGAATGTACAGGTTCTTAGTGTTAAGTATATTCATATTGCTGGGATTCCTAGAACTTATTTGTTTTACAAAACTGATACTCACTGAACATCAATTCTTCATTCCTCCCCTCCCTGCAGCTCCTGGAGCCACCATTCTGCTTTCTGTTTCTATGAATTTGATTACTTTAGGTCCTTTATATGTGTGGAATCGTATTTTTTTTTTGTGACTGGCCTATTTCACTTAGCAAAATGTTCTCAAGGTTCATCCATCTTATAACATGTGGCACAATTTCCTTCTTCTTAAAAGCTGACTAGTTAATATTCTATTGCATATATACTACATTTTCTTTATGCGTGTATTTGTCATTGGACATTTGGTTTCCTTCTCTCTCTTGCCTACTATGAATCATACTGCAGTGAACTTGGGTGTACAGATAGCTCTTTAAGATTCTGCTTGCCATTCTTTCAGATACATACCCAGAAGTGGGATTGCTGGATCATATGGTGATTCTATTTTTAATTTTTTAAGGAACCTTTCTACTGTTTCCCATAGCAGCAGCATCATTTTACAATTCCACTAACAGTGCACAAGGGTTCCAATTTCTCCCTCTCCATCCTCACTAACATGCTATTTTGGTTTTTTAAAAGTAATGCCATCCTAATGGTAGTGAGGTGATATGTCATTGTGGTTTTGATTTGCTTTTGTCTATTGATTAATGATATGAAATACTTTTTCATATATCTTTCAGCCATTTCTATGTCATCTTTGGAGAAATGTCTGTTCAAGTCCTTTGCCCTCTTTTTAGTTAGGCTATTTATTTATTTTGAACTATAGAAATTCTTTATGTTTCCTGAATATTAACTCCTTAGGAGATATAGAATTTGCAAATATTTTTTACTGCTTTGAGCATTTTTTTTTTGGCAGTACTGAGGATTGAACCTAGGGTTTTGTCCATACTAGGCAGTTGCTCTACCCCTGACCTACATCCCAGCTCTTTGTTACCTTTCTGTGTATCTTTGTTTCAGTGTGCTGACTTTATTCTTTGGTGCATAGAAGTTTTAAAGCTTGATATAGTGCCATTGTCTACTTTTGCTATTGTTGCCTTTTTTTTTTTTTTTCCTATGCTTTGATATCATAGCCAAGAAATTGCCAAATCCTTCGTTCTCTGTTCCTGGAACTTTGACCACTGCTGTGTCCTCTTTCACACTCCCTACCTGGCACTGGTTGAATGCTAAACCTGAACATCACTTACTCCCATTCCACTTCTGAAATATGGAACTTTGGCATCCTAGTCCCATTATAGCCTCTATTACTCCAGTTTTCTCATTCTCTTACTCCCATTCTTCAGTGTTATCAAAACTTTGTGACCTTCCTGGTTTCTTTCCAATCACTTTTCCCTACTTTTCACTTTTTTACTCTTCTAGATTCCTCGATCCAACACATCATATACACTTCTTAACTCCATTTTTCACCTGTCCTGTCTGGCCTTTTCCATCTCCCAATTCCTTCCTCTCATCATAGCTGAACTTTTTGTTTACTTCCGACTCATGATACATCCTATTCAGTCTTCATTAGAATTATTTTCACCAGTTTTATTTCTCATCCTTTTTAGACACTATTGACTATTCTTGAAACACTATTTCCCCCTTGCCTCTGGCTCCCTAACTTTTGTCTCCATAAAGCTCTTTTCTGAGCTTCTGACCTGATTATAACTTCAATTGCTTAATGTCTCCTTGGGTGCTTCACAGGTGCCTCAAACTCAACAAACTTAAACAAACAAACAAACAAACAAAAAATTAAATTAAAAAAAAGCTTTCCTACCAAACCTGTTTCTTCTTAGTAATTGGTATCACTCACCATCCATCTAGTTTCCCAAACTAGGAATTTGGACATCACACTCCACTTCTTATCCTCATTCCCCACATCTGGCTTATGTATTTTAGGTGGTTTTGCACCTCAGATCTCTTAACATGTTCACTTTCTTCTGTCTGACTTCACTGTCACCACCCTCATCCACACTACCATCAATTTTCTCACCTGGATCCTTACTAGCCCCTCGCTGTTCACCTTGTACCTACTCTTGCCTGTTTCTAAGGTTTTTGACACACCATTGCCAGAGTGTTCTTTTACAAGTGCAGATTACTGTTGCTTTTAGGGTCAAGTCCACTCTTCTTACCAGCTGTACATGAGTTTGCCCCATCTGCAAACATCTCCAGCCTTGCCTTACTCTACAGTTAGCATGTGGAACTTGCACGTCTTCTGAAATGACTTGTTCTTTCTGTTTCAGGGTTCCTTGGAGGGTTTTCTGCATGTCATTCCCTCTGGGCACACTCACTTCTTTCCAAGGCAACTACCATTTCTTCAGGTCTCAAATGTTGTTATTTCTCAGAGGAAGTCTTCTCTGTCCCTTCAATTTTGAGTTAGGCAATCTTTCTATATTTTCTCCATGGCTGTGAACTCCTGTATAAAAGTCAGTTTTGTTCTGTTGGTTTCTTCTCTTATGTCATAAAACTCTAAAGGTAGGGGCCCTGTTTGTTTTGCTCAGTGTTGTTCCTAAGGCCCAGCACATAGAAGGTACTTGACACATTGTGTTTATGGAAGAGGGAACACACAAGAGAATGAAGGGATGAGGGCTCAGGCAGGATATCACTTGTGTTGACTGTCCACTTCCCAAACCTTCATCCTGAAGGAAATAATGCACTAAATCTGTAATCAGATTTCTCTTTCATTTTCCACAAAATTTATTTTAAAATATTCATTAATTCCTCCATTTCCTGTTCTATTTTCTCTTTGCTCATTCTTAGGCAACTTAACTCTGACTTTAAAGAGAAAATTAAAAACACTGGGCATGCATCCCTGCATGCATGCTTCTGTTCTCTTTCTGTCTCAGTGGATGGATTTGCCTCCTGCCCAGCCCCTCTAAGCTCTCAGCCACATCCCATCCTTACCCTGTCATCTTCACTTATATCGTCTTCACTTTCTGCTTCTTTCTTCTGTTTGTCAGAACCCTTCCAGGCTTGAATGTGTCTTTGCATATTGGGCTATTCCCATTCCTTTACCATCCGCCCCCTTCCCTTTATGCCATTTTTTAATATGTACCTCACACTGGCAATCTCTACGTCCATTTCAGAATAAGCTTAATAAAATTTGGTATATAGTCTGTCATTTGATTGCTCATGCTCTTGAGATGAGTGATTTCTTAATTATTAAATTAAATGGGTATTTTTCAATCTTGATTTACCACATTTAATTCTCTTCAACTG